TCCAATTTTCCCCTTTGGGTTTTTTGGGGGGCTATACAGGTTTGATTATGGGTAAAAGGAAGTCTTTAACACCTGAAACTATAGCTCAAATCATAGGGCTTCACAAAGTTGGGCACAAGACGAAAGATATAGTAGAGAATGTTGGTGTGAGCGAGCGTTCAATGAGGAACTGGGTGCAGTGTTTCAAGGCTGGTGGCGATGTTGAGCTACCATCTGCCAAGCCTCGGCCTAGCCCCTCGAAGAAGACATCTGTTCATATGTTGTGTTAAAGCAGCAGTTAGAGAGTACACCTAAGATAACTGCTAGAGAATTGAAAGAAAAGAACCCACATCTTCTCTCAGAGGTGTTTACAAGAACTGTTAACAGACGTGTGTCAGAACTGGGCTACAGTAGTCACCACTAGATTAAGAAACTGATCCTCTCCAAGCCACAGAAGAAATGTAGGCTGGATTATGCAAAGAAATATCTTCACTGGAATCTTCGACAGCAGTCTGAAGTACCTTGGAGTGATGAAGCAACCTTCACTGTCACCTGTAACCGTGGGGGACATGTGTACTGGCCCAGTGGTAGTGACCCACTAGACCCACGCTACACCTGTGGGACCACCAAACCCCCGAGACTTGCTCATGGTTTGGGGGCGTTTCAGTGCTCAGAGTGTTGGTGAATTCATCGTGCTTCCCAAAAAGCAGTATAATTACCTGGAGTTATTGTGTGACAATTTACCCGAGGTGTTTGAGGTTTTCATGCAGGACGGTGCACCGTATCATACCACCAAATCTGTAGTGACTGTGAAGTGAGGTTCTTTCATGACTGGCCAGGCAATTCCCCAGACCTAAACCCTATTGAGAACCTCTGGTCAATAGTGAAACGAAGTTTACTGGGCAAGGATAACATAAGAAAGAAGGAACACTGCAGCAGGCCTACTGGCCCATGTGAAGCAGGTCCATGTCAACCCCCAGCTTAGCCCAATGGCCCACCCAGTCACATCACCTCCACTTAAGGAAGGAGCACGGCTCCTGACCCAGTAGCACCAGCTAGTCAGGTCCAACTCACACCCACTCGTGTATTTATCTAACCTATTTTTAAAACCACACAACGTCTTAGCTTCTATGACGGTACTTGGGAGTTTATTCCACTCATCCACAACTCTATTACCAAACCAGTGCTTTCCTATATCCTTCCTGAATCCGAATTTTTCCAGCTTAAAACCATTGCTGCGAGTCCTGTCTAGGCTAGATATTTTTAGCATGCTATTTACATCCCCTTTATTCATTCCTGTTTTCCATTTATACACCTCAATCATAACCCATCCCTAATTCTACGCCCTTCTACAGAGTGCAGATTCAGGGCCCTCAGCCTATCCTCATAGGGAACATTTCTGATACATGGGATCAACTTTGTCATCCTCTGTATGTTTTCCAGTGCATTTATATCCACTCTGTAATATGGTGACCAGAACTGTGCAGCATAATCTAAATGAGGCATAACAAAGGATATAGAGAGTTGAAGAACAACCTAAGGATTTCTATTATTTTTGCTTCTTGATATGAAGCCAAGGATTCTGTTAGCTTTATTGCGAACGCTTATGCACTGTTGTCTTGGTTTCAGGTTACTGCTAACCAGAACTCCTAAACCCTTTTCGCAATCAGTAATATTAACCCTTAAACGGTCCAAACAGATCGACGTTCAAATTCGTACTGCTCCAAAAGTAGATCTACTTTTTTTTACATATTTTCAAATATAACAAAAAAAAAAAAAATGTAGATAAAAGTTCTTTTACAATTTTCAAATGTAAAACAAAAAAGAAGATCTACATTTTTTTTACATACTTTCAGATGTTGAAAAACGTATATATTACGTTTGGACCATTTAAGGGTTAAGATCTACATTAATTTATATGTGGCATGGTTATTATCCTTTCCAACATTTAGAACTTTGCATTTGTCTATATTAACGCATCTGCCACTTTTCCAACCATTGCATTAGCCTATTCAAATCATCCTGGAGTGCTCTATATTCCTCATTAAAATGAATTGGACGGCCCTAGTTTGGTGTCATCAGCAAATTTGCTTATGTCGCTTTTATTCCCTCGTCTATGTCATTTATGTAAACTGTGAACAACAAGGGGCCCAACACTGACCCCTGTTGAACACTGCTTGTGATGTGCCCCCACTCAAATACCTTAGTGAAAAAGCTTAGTAAATTCGTAAGACAGGAACGCCCCTTTGTAAAACCGTGTTGAGATTCATGAATCAATTTATGCCTTTCAAGATGGTTACGAATTGCCTCGGCAATTATTGATTCCATAAATTTTCCCACTATGGAGGTAAGGCTTATTGGTCTATAGTTCGAAGCCAAGGACCTGTCACCTGCCTTGTAAACAGGTATTACATTTGCTATTTTCCACTTATCTGGCACTATGCCAGTTTGTAGTGATGTGTTGAAAAGATTAGCCAAAGGTTTGCTAAGTTCCTCTTTACATTCCTTTAAAACTCTTGCAAAGAATTCATCAGGGCCTGGGGATCTGTTAAGTTTTAATATCTCTAATTGTCTGAGGACCATGTCACTAGTTACTCTTTTATTTCTCTCTTTAACTGAATATATTGATTTCTTAACTGCTCATCCCCTCTTTTGATATGCCTATATATGCCTCTCTTTTGACCAATGAGATGTTTTAATCTATTGTTCATCCATTTGGGATCATTTTTGTTACATCTAATTTCCCTACTCGGAACAAAAGTTGTCTGGGCAGTTAGAACTATGCTCTGAAAAATGTCATATTGGCAACCAACATCACCAACCTAACCCATAGTTAGGTCATCCTAATTTAGCCCACCCAGGTAATTTCTCAGTGCCATGAAACTGGCCAAGCGGAAGTCTGGGAAAAAAATTTGATTGTAGTTTTCGGGGAAATTTCCCTTTGATATATTGAAAACTAAGGGGGGGGTTTTTTTGCGATTTTTTTTCCCCAAGCCATAAATTAACCTAAAAGTTTTTTAAACCCCAAAAACCCCCTTGTCCACACGTAGATATACGTTAACGGGGCAGGCTGGTTTCCGGAGTTTGATAAACCTTTTTTTTTAAATTCCCTTTCAAATTTGGTGCATGGGCCTAAACGCCAAGACATAAAAGAATGGGTCTGGGCACTGGGTTGTACGCACAATAAAAAAAATCGGGAACACCCAAAGTTAAAACTGGCGCCACTGAGCAAATATCATGGCAAAACCAAATTCACTGATTCAGGTAAAAATTAAAACTTTCACATTTTAAGGGGTAAATTAAAAAAAAGTTAATAAATGCAGGGAAGGGGGGGTTTTGGGGGGGGTGGGAGTTGGACCTGACTAACTTGTGTACTAGGTAAAAATTGTCGTGCTCCCCCCTTTCCCTTTTGGAATGACCAAATTTGGGGGGTTTTTTTGGGCCCTGTTTTTGGGTCTATATCTCTTCTGTCTTTTATCCCTTTTCCTACCCTTCTATATCACTGTCTACTTTTTCTCTTCCTCACAGTACTCATCAATACATTTTAATTAAACATAATGTAAATTACCTGGGAATAACCCAAAAATTCCGGGCCCAAGCGCTTTACATTGTTGTAGATTGTAAAGGGTTTTAATCCCCCCGTAAAAACCTTTCAGACAGTTTTTTCCCCAAGGCTGGGCTCCTCCTCAAAAAAAATTATTTGAATAGAAAAAAAAATAATAAAAAACAAAAACCCCTTTAAATTTATAAAAAATATAAAACACTTAAATATGAAATTTTAAATCCTACATTAAAGAAAATGAAAAATGAAAAAATAAATGAAAACTGAATTCAACGTAATATATAAAAAGGGGGGCGGGGTTTTGGGGTGCACGGGAGTGTTGTTGATATCGTACATTCTGATGGGGGGGGGGGGGGTCGCGGGGTTTTGGTTACAACCCACTGGTTCATTCCTTCACAGAAAAAAGCCTTGAGTTTTCAAACCCAAATGACGGGAAAAGAGGTTTTTTAAAACCGCTGCAATGATGGGGGGTTTACGTCCGGGAAATTTTTCATAAAGGTGCACAGGTAATTAAAAAAAAAAAGGGGGGAAAGGTTCAGGATCAAGTCCATCTCCATCGTTCTGCTGGGTTGATTGGCAGGTGCCCCTCTCGTCACCCAAAGTGGAAAGATGACATTACCCACTGTTTAAAGTTTTTACTCCCATGATAAGTACAATCCCTAAAAATGGG